CATATTTAAACATCAAAAATGGCCTTTGGTTAAAGTCACAATCGAATTCTCAATAATCCAATTGGACTGTCGGCAACACGACTCGTGTGGGGCAGTCACACGACTCGTGTGGCCTCACACGACTCGTGTGCCTTGTCACACGACTCGTGTGACTTGCCGACACTTTTGCTCTTAATCATTCATCATCTCACACGACTCGTGTAGCTAAGTCACACGACTCGTGTAGCCTCACACGACTCGTGTGTCTCATCACACGACTCGTGTCAAAATCCCGAGGCTAACTTTCATCACTTCTTCATCCCACACGACTCGTGTGTCTCTCCACACGACTCGTGTGGCTTCACACGACTCGTGTGCCTATTCACACGACTCGTGTGGCTTGTTCCTTGAAAATTCTTAATTTCGGTCCGATAACTCACTATCTTGGACTCGAAATCACTTATTTCTTGGAACAATAACTCATAATAACTGATATAACTGAGAGGGATATTACAAAACCCACCAGCCTTTTTCAGGAATGCTCCCAGCAGAAGGGGATAACCTCGACGGGCATAGCCAGACAGCTACCCCTGATGTACCTCACCAGCCTGGATTGGGCCCTTTTTCCGGGCAGGATCGTGAGGCAGATGGAGAGGACGGTGAGGGGTGGTGGGGTTTGTGTGGTGACATTGGAGGAGTGCATTGGAGAATTGCTGCATTTTTTGTGGATTTTTTTTGCATTTTTTTGTGGATTTCTAATTGGAGAATCGCTGCATTTTTCGTGCATTTTTTGTGGATTTCTTATTGGAGAATTGTTGCATTGCTGTAGTGAAAGTTGGGAATTTAAATGATTTTTATTATGTGTTCTTAAATTTTTCTTGCAAGTCTATATTCTACAAGGCTTTATTAGGCAGTTCATCCGTTTAAAATTGAGTTCAATCATACAGAATTCAATTTGATCGACTTGAAAATTGACTTGAAATCTGAAGCATGGTCTTTGTTCTTGATGTCTGTTTTCCCAAGTTAGAGCTCCACTAAAGTTGGGTGCTTGTAAAAATCTGAACTTTGTGTGATTGATTAATTTAACACCCAACATTTTGATGTTGGCTTGTTTTTTCTTGAAAATTACTTTTGAACCTGTTCAACTCTGTTGTGGATGTAGTTTTATTTCCAAACTTGTTAAATCTCATATACTTGACAGCTAATTATGTAGCAGTAGCTTTATGAACTATCTACTTATACATTTTTTTATTAATGCATATTACTGTTGCTTCAATTGCTTGGTGCAGTAGGTTAACACACTATATAATAGTACTCAAAAATTGGTTGATCACTTTTAAGTCTGTAACCATATAGTTTGATAATATTGCTTCCCTTTTTCACCGGTTCGGATCTTATGAAGATTTAAGATGTCATTACTGCTTGCAGAGACTTGCTGTTTGAGTTTAAAGGTTATTAGATCTTGGCTTATTTAAGTGATATAGGGAAGCCTACTGATGTAGAGAACAAATACTACAAATTTTCATTTTATGGAAACAAATTTGCCATCTCATCTCATTGAATGATCATACATGACTACTCAAAATTCTACCTATATGTTTTAACTTTCACTATTTATCAATCAAATCATGCGTCAACGATCCACGTGACATGGTAGACATGGAGGATTAAAGAAATTACGATTACTACGGTACCAGTTTTGACAGAAATAGTACCGCTTCTCATTCTGCGTAATACCTGTTTTTAATTAATTAGTACCAACTTTTGGTCAACGGAAATGGATTACTTCAATCTTGGTTAACATTTGCAAAAATTGTTACCAGACCTAGAGTAAGATAGTACCAGCTTTATGGTGTTTTAGTACCAGATATCGAGTCTTCAGTACCAACTTCGACGAACATAAAAAAACACCAAATTTTGGTCTCAAATGACGTTTATATAACCCATTATAACTCTCATATTAGTTTTTATGAGATTTAAAATTTGTTTAATTGAGTTTAATCGTAAATTGGTCACGAACTCAACACACTAATGAAAAAACACTACTAGTACACTTACTCTCATTAAAAGACACATTTCATCTCATTGAATGATCATACATGACTACTCCAAATTCTATCTATATGTTTTAACTTCCACTATTTTTCTCAACCAAATCCCGCGTGAACGATCCACGTGACATGGTAGACATATAGGATTAAGGAAATCACGATTACTAAAATGGTACCAATTTTGACAAAAATAGTACCACTTCTTCTTTTGCGTAGTACTTGTTTCTAATCAATTAGTACCTACTTTTGGTCAGCGAATACTTCAATTTTGGTCAACATTTGCAAAATTTTGTACCAGACCTAGAGTAAGATAGTACCAGCTTTTGGTGTTTTAGTACCAGATATCAGGTCTTTAGTACCAACTCCGACGAACATAAAAAAACACTGAATTTGGGTCTCAAATTATGTTTATATGACCAAATAATCACTCTCACATTATTTTCTATGAGATTTAAAATGTTTTAAATTGAGTTTAATCGTAAAATGGTCATGAACTCGACACACTAATTAGAAATCAGTACTAATACACTTCATTTCATTGAATGACACACTTCATCTCATATAATCATCATACATGACTACTCCAAATTCTACCTATATGTTTTAACTTCCACTATTTTTTATCCGAATCACGCGTGAACGATCCACGTGTCATGCTAGACATGAAAGATTAGAGAAATCGCGATTCTCAAAATAGTACATGTATTAGCCAATATAGTACCGCATCTTCTTCTACGTGGTACCTATTTTTGATCGATTAGTACCAACTTTTGATCAACGAAAATAGATTATTCAACTGTGGTCAACATTTGCAATAATTGGTACCAGACCTAGAGTAAAGTAGTACCATCTTTCAGTGTTTTAGTACCAGATATTAGGTCTTTAGTACCACTTGTAATGAATACATAAAAATACTGAATTCCAGTCTCAAATGATATTTATTTGACTAATAATCACTCTCACATTATTTTATATGAGATTTAAAATGTGTAAAATTGAGTTTAATCGTAAAATGGTCATGAATTCGACACACTAATGAGAAATCACTACTAATACACTTCATTTCATTCAATGACACACTTCATCTCATAGAATCATCATACATGACTACTCCAAATTCTACCTATATGTTTTAACTTCCACTATTTTTCATCCGAATCACGCATGAACTATCCACGTTTCATGGTAGACATGAAGGATTAGAGAAATCACAATTTTCAAAATAGTACTTGTATTAGCCAATATAATACCGCATCTTCTTACGCGTGGTACCTGTTTTTGATCGATTAGTACCAACTTTTGGTCAACGAAAATATATTATTCAATTGTGGTCAACATTTGCAATAGTTGGTACCAGACCTAGAGTAATGTAGTACCATCCTTCGGTGTTTTAGTACCAAAGATTGGGTCTTTAGTACCACTTGTAATGAACACACGAATTTCGGTCTCACATGATGTTTATACAACCAATAATCACTCTCACATTATTTTCTATGAGATTTAAGATGTTTTAAATTGAGTTTAATCGTAAAATGGTCATGAATTCGACACACTAATGAAGAATCACTAATAATACACTTCATTTCATTGAATGACACACTTCATCTCATAGAATCATCATATATGACTACTCCAAATTCTACTTATATGTTTTAACTTTCACTAATACATGACTACTTTCTTATTTAATTCATATAATAATTGTTATTATAAATATGTATTCTTTTTATTTTAAAATCTCTTTAATTTTTTATTTTAATTTTATTTTTGTATGTTATATCTCAAAATAATCATATATTAATGATCTTCGATTTGAAATCTATTTTGCATATATAACATAAAAAATAATTACATCTATCATTATAAATAATATATTTATTAAAAAAATAATTTCAAAAATATGAATAACACATTAATTAGTTTACAACAAATGTAATAAAAATCTAATTCAGTAATATACCTTAAAATAATCATTTTAATGCCTTTTATCATAGATTTTAAATAAAACAAGAAAATTAAGTGAAAAATGCGTACCCCATTTTGAATTTAATTACTACTATGTTAGTTATTCATTATCTTTTATAGTCATTATACATAATTTTACAATAAAAAAAATTTTATTTTAACAAATATTAATATATTTAATCACCCGTAAAGTACACGGGTATCATACTAGTTGATATATATTCCTCTTGAAAATTATATAGATCTTTGAATAAATATTTTTTAGTAAAATTTATAATTTATTATAGAGAATTATATGATAAATTTGAATAACCAAGTAACATACAATAAACCTTAAAAATTGTGAGATTAGTATAATATAGATTTATATGATATAAAGATTAGTAAAATATAATTTTTATTTGGATAGTTTATACAAAAATAAATTTATTTGAATTAATGAAAAGATATAAGTTTTAATATATACTTATTATTCATATATATTTTGAAATATATGATAAAAAAATTTTAACAAAATATTTATTTTATGGAACTACATTGTATTCAAATTGAATTTTGAATAAAAATCTTTTTTTTTTTTTTTCCAAAACGATAGATAATATTATAAATCAAAAGGCACAAATGTGCGAATACACAGCAGCCAACAGCTGAAAAAGTGGGAGGACAGGTCAGAAGACCGCCTAGAATCCCGACTAGCAACGCTAGAAAAAAACTCGCAACTAAACTAAACCAACTACTCACACAACTAAAACAACTAAACAGACCCCAACAGAGTAATACCCGAGTGTCGGATCCCAACAGGATAATAAGGTGACACTCGGGCTCACAGAGGTAACTGCCCAAACCTAAAACACTGATACAACACAAACACAGATACAAAAAACACAAAACAAGAACTAGAAAACTAAACTAACAACAACCAAAGCCCTTCCCCAGTAAACGAGCAGACCCAACCAGCAGCGAACAATCGACACAAGAACGATTCCAAACCCGAGAAACCACTACCGAAACCGCGAGCCCGCCTATACAGTAGTCGAAACCGAGCCCCGAGCCATTCTCCGAATCGACCCACATCCAACCGAGAGAATACCAACCAACCAACCCCACCCGTCCCTCCCGAACCCGTCTAACACCACTAGCCGAGCTCAAGAGAATCAGGTTCCCGGACCCCCTCCGTCTAACACCACTAGCCGAAAAGGGGAAGGGGATAGGTGGTACGGTTCCTCAGCCCCCGACCGCCACAACAGGAGACGTCGCAGCAGTCGAGGCTGTTAGTGTTATATACTGAAAGCTTGGCTTTGCATGTTATTACACATTTACCCTTTATGAATGAGAATCATGTTAGATTAAACAAGTTCTACGTTCTGTTGTTCTGCACTTAAATGGAGTGGGTCGTCATCGGGCGAACCGAAGATCACTCTATCAGTTACTTGCGAATAAGAATAGTTGTTCACAACCTAGATGGACATGAACACCCCATCCGAACGGTTGTAGTGTCAACTGTACAGTTTGTCTTGACTGATTAGTTGCACTAGTACATTTATGTATTGAACAGGATCCCAGAGAGGAGAAGTTCATTTTATACTGATCGTCGTAAATGAACTAGGCCTCGGTTAATTACTGCGTTCTCTTAACCCGTAAGATATTAAACAGGCAGATATATATAATATATATTACTTTGATTCAC